ATTTGGGAACGTCTTACATATTTTAGAGAAAATGATCTCTTACCTTATAATAGCAAAAAATATCTTGAAGCTAGGAAATTAATACGATTTCCGGATGGCAGTTCATATGCTCCTGAAATCGGAATAGCAATATGTTTCTCTTGTGATAGATTAGTATATACTGGACAAAGAACTAAGAATATGGGAAATTATAACCATATAGGAATGGAAAAACATTGGAAATTTTTGTACCGGTAATAAATACTGCGGTGTAAATTATGAAGAATACATGCAAATTAAGCAAAAATCTAGTTCTGAACATAATTATGATAATATACCTTTATCCTCATAATGATCTGACTTGCATAGCGGGCATAAAGATTCATCCGTAATCCCATAATAATCATTGTTTCCATCTCTGCCTTCCCAAAATAAATCAGGATATTGCTCTGCCATTTTATTATGGAAATCGGCACGTTTATGTGTAGTATTTACCTTAGTTGAATCTTTCGAATTTGTTTCATCATCATCGGAGTCATCATCATCGGAGTCATCGTCATCGGAAGATTCTTTCCCATTGCCATCAGAGGATTCCGAGTTAGAATCTGAAAAGCTATCAATTATAGTTACGACTTCTGAAAATTCGTTATTCATTTACTATATCTTCCGAATTGCTGGAGACAGACACTTCGTGGCTAGAGTTATGATATGATTTAATAGAGGGAGTAGTTGTAATACTTACCTCGGTTTCCAGTAAAGTTTCTTCGCATGCTTTAATTTCTATATCTGATTTCGATTGGCCATATGCGCGTGAAGAATTCTTCACGCCGATCAATTTTTGAGATTCATACGATGATATTTTCGCATCTAATTCTTTAGTATAAAGATTTATAATATTTTGAATTTGTGTGCCGGTTAAACTAGAAATAGCATCAACACTATATGTAATGTACTCGATTTTATCTATTCCTATCCCTTTGAATAATGTACAGATAGTTCTAGCCTTTTGAGTCATCTTACGCAAATACTCTCTCTTGATACCAGGTAGATACTGCATCATTTCATCATATATTTGCGTTCTCGCCATTTGATCACCAATATTTTTTTCTGAACTAAGATTTGAAACTTTTTTTTCATATTCCTCGCTATAATAATACCATCGCAATTTTTCTTTTCGTCCAGTTTTCTCGGCCTTGCCAAATAAACGAGCTAAATGAGGTACAGAACCTGGAGTTAGATCTATATCAACAGGAATGTCCGAAATTTGTTTAATGAAGATAGAATTCAATGGAGTTTTCTTCAGACTTTGTAAGGACATGGAATCGGTGCCTCGAATAAATTTAAATAACTCATGTAATAAACCTTGTTCTACTTTCCGATTATAGGGAATTTTTACCACCAATGTACTGGCTTCTGCTATTTGGGACGGGATATTACTTAGTTCAGGGATGTCACTTTGCGCTTGATCAGTAGATAATTTGGCTCGGGACAAGGAGACTTTATCTTTGATTGATCTATTTTAGACGCAAGGTCATCCTTACTCTGTGAGATGGGATTTTGGGGCGAGCCAGAAGATACATTCTGAGATTTTGATTGGTTATTTTATGTTCTCGCGATATATCACACGATAAATTAGATTGATCCGATGAACTATTATCCGAAGATAAGTTTTGATCCCGAAGTTTCTTTTCTCTAATTCTCTCCATTTTCTCTTTACTAACACGTTCTTTATATCCCCTTTCTACAAAATCTAGAGTTTCAGCTGAATCGTCATCAATAATATCTTGTGGCAAAGAAGCAATAGACGATTCAGGATCAGTTAGAGATTTAGAATTGCTCCATTGGGTCTGGGTCGAGTTATGTTCGGACAAGGGATCGAGAGTAATACCGTTATCTTTATCGGACTGATCTTCGATAGGCGGTGAAATATTTTTTGCGAGGGATACTTCCTGTTCATTAGTGATAACCTGGGTTTGCCTCTGCTCCAGTTTCGCAAATCGATTTTCACTTTCTTTTGCCGACTGTTCTAGTTCCACGATTCTGGCATTGAGCTCACCATCTCTCAACTTTGCATTCTCGGCATTTTCTTTTGCGGTCTGTTCTAATTTCACAAATCTGATCTCAATATCTTCCTTATCTTGTTTTAATTTTATATTTTCAGCCTTGATATCGGCATTCTCCTTCCTAAGTTCAGTAATCTGGTGAATGAGATCAGAATTTAATTCTCTCAATGAGGAGACAGAGTCTCGAGTTTTCAACTCATCGATTTTAGATTCCGTATTTGCCATTGTTTATTTGCCATTGTTTTTATATAAGATACGGACATGTTCAATAGTTGATAAATTGCGTGTGCGTGAAGAATTCTTCATGCCGATCACTTCCGCCAAGAGAAAATATTTTACAATATATGCGGAAATCTTTATTTATTCATGATGAATCAGTGATATATTTACATGCGAAAATTAATATAATGCTACGCAGTACAAATCATATCTATATAACCACAGAATAATAATCTAGACTGTCTACATTATCGCTTTGTTGTACTATTCGGGATCAGACAATGGATCTTCAGCCTTCAGTCTACGACGTGCTCGCCTTAAATCTAAAAAATAAAGAATATATACTATTAGCCAGAGGCTTGCTCATGCTAATATCTAGAATATAAGAAAATGATCTGATCAATTCATCAAATATAATTATTTACCAATTTTTTCTCGTCTCTTATCACAAGTCTTGTCAGGTACCTCGGTTTGACTTTTTTTTGGTTGAGAGAGTCTGATTCGGTTATTCAGATCTCGCGCATCATTGAGATTTTGCCGGGGAATCATAGGGACAACTGACCCACAAGCATCTCTTTTGATTCCCACCTTCAGATCATTATAAATAAAAGAAAAATCCCATGAATTGTGAAAGAAGGTATTATGAACAAAATATATGATGCTATGCCAAATTCCTCTAGTGATTGAAAGATTGCCATATAAAAGAAGCCATGAGAAAAATATGAGGTGTTACGATCTTGAGAAGCAAGGTAAAGAAATACTAGCATTAAAAGAGCAGATCACTAAATTGCAGGAATTGCAGGAATTTATTTATGAAGGTCGAACCAATTATTTGCAACGAGCTTTCAAACTGGGTGTTATCAAGAAAGGAACTGTGGTGGAACATAATACAGTAACTATTAAGGTCTCAGTAATAAATGAACATGCAGTTCTGTTTTATAAAAATAAATCTTATGAATCTTTTTACCAATTCCTTATTGCAATTAAAGAGGTATAATCAGTCCTTTATTTTATATTATAAACTTGAAGCTAATATTTATAAATTATCTATGGTGCAGGAAGTCTTAACTCAAAAATAAAATAGAGTATCTTTAAAATTTATCACAATTTTATAAAAATAAATTTTGAAAAAAATAAATTGGTAATATTGTTCTTTGAAATAAGCTCTTTCAAATTACCAGTTAAAATTTTCAAGTAACTTCAATATAAAAAGTTATAATGATTTAAACTTTTATATTTTTAAGTATTTTATTATATTTAGTTTATGTTTAGTTTAGAAATTGAAACAAAATTTATTATGCAACTATTATTTAATTAATTAATTTTAATAAATTTTATTGGTTATAATATTCTATTGGTCAATAAATTATAATAATTAAAAATCATATTAATTTGATTGATGTTTATATTGTATATTTTACATGATATGCTAATCTATATTGCATGTAACAATTTGAAACAAAATTTTGAGTTAAGACTTCCTGCACCATAGAAATAAGATATATAATTATAGAAGTATTTTTAATAGGTAATGAAAAATTTTTTAACACAATATATAAGTTAACACTTGAAGTATAAAAATATTTATTACTTTTTAAGACAAGTCTAAGAATTAATTGAACTCTTTCTTGTAAAGCTTTATATTTTTTATGTGCTTTGATACTAGCTCTATTATTATCAACAGATTAAGATTATTAGATTATTATTGTTTCTGTAATAAAGACAAGAAGATTATTCAAGCTAATATAATTTATTTCAAAATCATTAAGTTACAAAACAAAAATAATTTATATATATTCATCTAATGAATTTAGTATAATTTGTACAAGTATAAGATATTTGTATGAAGTATATATATTAATATCTATTTATTTTTATATAGTATAAAATTAAATATAAAACTCATAAATTAACATATAAGAAAATCCAGCAATATATTTTGTCTCAATGGATTTCTAAAGATTTTCTAGTTGGCAATCTTAAATTGAGTAGTTATCAGCAATTTACTATTTATATAAATTCTTGGTTCACTTTTCAAGAAAAGTTTCTTAGAAAAAAATAACAAAGATTAATTATTCAAAAGTTACTTTCACCAAATAGTATAAAATTTAATATCTTTACATTTGACTTTAATATGCTTTTTAATAATTACCTTGATATAATATCAGATTTCATTTAAGAAAATTGGTATAAAGATAATAATAATAATAGTAATAAATCTTTAGTATCATGAAATATCCAACCAATTTCAATCTCTTCAAAGTGCTTGT